GGACTTTAGTGATGAAGACGAAGATGAAGAGATAGAGGACTGAGACTTCTAAGAGGAGTAGGGTAACTTAACTTAGGAAGGACGGGTGGCCTGGTATTGTGCAGGAAAGGGAAAGATGACTAGAGAAGAAAGGATGATGGAATACATCTTCAAAGGTTGGGAACCACGGCGACTCAGAGGAGGGATAGAAATGCCTATACCAACAGGAAACGGATGGAGAGGAACCACGTGCGACTGGATTAGGTTTGAGGTTGCCCGGGACTTGTCGTATGTATGGATAGAGCGGGTTTGGAACCCGATAAGGGAAGAGGAATGTTGGGATGATATAGCAGAAGGCAAGGTAGAGTCGGTCGGAACAATTGTCCTTTCCGAGGAGGGGTGGCACCTGTTTTGCACTATGTTAGCAATGGGACAGGACCCGATGTGGCTTCTAGGGGATGCAGAGGCCCGAACCCGAAAAAAAGGCGAGTGGTTCGCCAACGAGGGATGAGACGAAGTCAGTAGTAGAGTTGTGATGGGAGGATGGAAGGAACTTAAGCCTCAAAGTCTACGAATAACGGCTTGGGTACCAGAGTTCATAGCCGAGTGGTTTGGAGGTTTTGAGCACATTTTGGAAGTAGCCGACTTCATGAGAAGGGTGCATATAGAGTGTGTCTGGCTGACTGAGGAGTTTTATAGGCTCTCATTGAAATATGGGCCCTTCTACGGAAATAAAGCCAAGGAAGTCATGATCGTCCTAAGAATAGGCAGGTATGACTGCCTAGAGGTAGAGGCGGAGTCTTGGGATGCCATAGTTAGCCGGGAGGCGGCGGCCGCACCCTCCTACGTAGACGATGTCTTTAAACTGTTTGATGTGTTGTGGTTCGACTAAATGAGGCCAAAGGGTCGAACACCGCGAAAAAGCCTGAATATGGAGGATGCCTGTGAGTTGGGATGTAACATAAGAGAGGGAGTGTGTACATTAGGCCGTAGACGGTGCATAAGGATCGAAATAAGAGGAAAGTGGCAACAACCGGAAAGAAAAGGGGGGAGTAGATTTGTACGTATATGGGTCATTAATAGCAACAAGAATCAGTGTACGATAAGTAGGAAAGGACTGAAAGACTAAAACATGAAAGGCATAGAATCTCGGTAGGTGCAGCAAGCGGACTAAGGCAGCAGGAAAGGAGACGTTTCAAAATGGCCCGGTGAATGACTTTCTGGGGGAATAGACTTCGCGGGATCCTGTCACCAAGGGTATCGGAAGGCAGGGTCGAAATAAGCCTGCTGGCAAGAAATGCGGTAAGCAATCCGGTAATGGACTGGGTGGGGGTAGAGTTGGTGGAGGACACGATGTACCTAGTAGTGGAGCTGGAATGGCGTGCGAGAGGGGAGTTCGGGGGCGTAGATTTGAACCTCCCAGGGCGAGTGCATGCGACGGGATCCTTACACCTGTCGGAAGAGGGGTGGTGGACCTTTGGGATTGCTTTGGCTTCCGGGGATGACCCCGTACGAATGTTTGAAGGAGCATGACAGATAACTTGGCAAGAAGGGTTTGAGTTCGCAGTCCCAGAACGAGACGACGTGACAGCCAATGTAAGAGTTGTCGCGGCAGGGATCTTTGAGCTGCCCAATGAGGTCGTACGGATGAGTCTACCGCCCTTCCTGCTAAGGCTAATGGGAGGCATAGAACGAGTGGAGCAGGCAGTGACTGTCGTAACTAGACTAAACCTTGACGAAGCATTAATGTATCGAGAATACTATCGGGCTTTCCTAGAGATGGGGCCTTTTGGGGACGAACTGAGGCGTGAGGTGCTTTGCATTCTACGAGCAGTACTAAATACTAGGCCAGGAGTCCCACAAATAAGCGATGAGGCCATGTGGAGAGTCATCCGGCAGGAGATAGGCCTGGGTGTGCCCTACGTAGATGATCTCTACCGGTTGTACGAGCTGCCAGAGGAGGCTACTGCTCCCAGGGGTATGGCGGGATAGTTGGACTAGAAAAGAGGAATGAAAATACGAAGGACAAGGAAGGCAGTAGGTGGGCAATTTCTGGGGATTGGCTGTAACCCTTTCTATGTGGACTATGCAGGGAATCACCAAGGCAACAATTGCAGCAAGACGTGAGCGAATGGAACGTCAGCCCTGTGTGCGAATGGAACGCCAGCCCTGGTACCCCGGACCACCCTGGAATAACGGTGGACGATGGGAAGTATCCCTCCCGTCGAGTTCTACCTATCGGGGATTCGACATAGAATGGCGGGTCGTGACTTTGGGACAGGACGCCGCCTTCATGTTGGTAGAATGTCGGTGGACAGGGATGAGACTTAATCGAGGACCCGGGGACAATCTGTATTCCAACTTGGAAGCTACCGGGACAATGTATCTGGCTGAGATCGGCTGACACTCGTTGGGGGTAGAGATAGCACAAGGTCATGAGCTGGCACCAATCTTTCGAAGGGCCGCCCGGACGTTGACCCGGATAGGGCAATCAGTTAGGGGTAGAAGGAACGTAGGCTTACTGACCTGGGTGGAAATGGAAGGCTGGAGAGAGTTCAGGGCACCAACCACACCGCTGCGATGCCGAGTGCCCCGCTTTATGATAGACCTCGTTTTCGGAAGCCTTGCAAGGGCGCGGGATCTGGCCGACTCAGCGTTAATTTGGGCAGGCCACTTTCCCTCCCCTACCATTGGGATGTTCAACGATATCGCTGTGGAACATGGGCCGTTCTGGGGAAACAGAGCCCACGAGTTACTGGAACTTTTGGAGTCATCCACATCTTGATGTTTAGGGCGCCACGACTAGACTAGGCGGGATGCGAACGCATAATCGAAAGAGAAATCGAGATAGGAGAGAATTATTTAGCAGGGGTGGCTGAACTATTCGAGGAACCTACCGAACCAGAAGGGGTACGAGGGCGAGAACGGGACTAGCAGCCGCGGGCGAGCCAATAGGGCGAATCAAGTACAGTCTGTTACGTTCAAAGGTTCACCGACAGAAATAGGAAAGGGGGACCTCAGACTCGGATGATCAATAACCACCAGACAGGGAACGCTGCACAGGAAAACTTTTCCTAGCAGGTTGCCCAACCCGGACCCCTACGCACCGACCAACGGAATAATGACGCTCTAAACAAGCCGGTGATAAGGGCAGCCAAGCCACGCCCTTAGCTCAGTGAGGCAGCAGAGCCGGACGCGGTTCCTTATTAAGAAAGTCATCAGGAAATGGGAATGGGAAAAAGTATAATTACCAAGTAAAAGGGGTAAACCAACAGGGTTGGAACCTAGGGAGCCTAAAATACCTCGTACTGCGTTTTGTTCTGGGGTTATGCAGAAGTAGGCAAGTATGGCAACGGAGGAAGAGGCAGATAACCGTAAGAGTGAAGGAGGACCAGGCTTAGGAGGCAGTGCTGCACAGAGTGAAGAGGGGCAAAAGGACAGGGAATCGATAAATCCGGATGGTACCAAAGGGAACCGGAAGGAGATCTCCTCAGGAGAAAGCTCGGGGAGAGCCGGGGGAAGCAGGCAAGGGACTCAGGAGACCAAGGAGGGCAAAAATAAGGACAGGGCAAGCCCCCGAAATTCGGAAGGAGTCGTGTCTAAGAAAGTAAGGGTCACGGATACAAGGCGCAAACTAGCCGAGATAGATAAAAAGACCGCGGAGTACAAGGCAAGATTGATTGAGGAAATGATGACTGAGAACGAAGAAGGCCCTCTGCAGGAGGAACCCCTGGACGAACGGAAAACCGACCGAGGTGGGACTGGACAATGGGATAAGGGTAGCGACCGTGGGGGAACGTCGAGCAAAAGAAGGAAAGAGAGAGAGAACTCTCCGGGAATAGAAGCGGAAAAGGCTACGACCCCGCCAGCCATAGATAGTAGGGCTAGCCGCTTGCCGAACGCGCCAGCAGTAACGCGAGGGTGCGAAGGACTCTGGAGCCTTAGGGAAAGAGTGTCGGGATGGTTTGACCCAGAAGGAACTACGAAAACCAGGGAGGGAAAGAAGACCGGCAAGGAAAGTCCGAATAACAGTATGGCAGGCGAGGCCAGCAGCTCCGAGGGCGGTCTTAAGAAGATAGTGTCGTCCCTCGCTCGAGCACTGAACAAAAATCAAGGCTACCTAGCGGATGCTAAGAAAAAGTTGACGTTTGACGTGGCAAATATTACGCAATTCCTGGTAGATTACGAGAATCTAGCTGCGCTGTTGAAATGGACCGAAGAGGAGAAGATGGACCACTTGGGGCAGCATGTGTCTTTGAGCCTAGGACGGGACATAATGGTCATCGTGGCCGCGAGCCGGTCTTGGAAAGAAACCCGGGATGTGATGATGAGAAAGTATCTGGCAGCAGAGAAGATGGCAACAGAGGTCGATTTAGCGGCGGTCCAGAGGAAGAACTTCGCAACATACAATGACTTCCTACGGGAGTTTACCTTGGTAGCACTAAGAATCCCCGGGGTTACAGACCGAATAATGAGTAAGTACTTCCTCAGATAATTCTTCGAGTTCGACAAGGATAAGATCATGTCGGCTTACCAACAAACGAGCAAATTTGTAAACACTAGGGATGTTGATTTCAGTACGGTAACGGATCTGGCCGAAAAGACGGTAGTGACCGAGACTTTGGCCTTGCTTAAGGAAGGTGAGGTCATAGATCTGACTGGTAGAGCGGGCGATAAGGTTAAGAAGGGCATTGAGAGCCTACATGAGTGGGTGCACAGGGTCGACAATAAAATTGAAAGGATGGAGGGCGCGTTACTAGTTATGCAGGCACAGGTGTCCCGACCCGCTCTCCCTCCCCAGGAAGCTGTGGTTCCGCGAGGTGTAGCTAACCGGGGATTCGGACGGAGAGACCTTGCTAACGAGCAATGCAAGTACTGTACCGCAATGGGACATTACGTGCGCGCGTGCCCAAAGCTCAACCATAATATTCTGAAAAGAAGGTGTACCAGGTCATTGAAGGGGGAGATAATTTGACCACAAGGGGAACGGGTAAACTGGAACTCGCCAGGAAGGATGCGGCGAGTCATTATCATGCTCAACGGATTAGAGATAATGGCCGTAGAAGCCGAACTGGTGGGCGAGATTATCTGGGATCAACCCCAGGGGCACGGGCCGCAGGTCAACTTTATCTTAGAAAATGTCAGACGTGATAGGGTGAATGCAACCACTCGACTAGGGACGGCGGGAAGGAGGATTAACCGTGACACCGTGATGGAGGAGGTTGCTGGAAGTTCAAAACCCCGGGCAGAGCCCGAGGCCGAGGAACCAGAAAAGGTCTATGGGAAACCTAGGGAAGAGGAGCCTACGGACAAAGTTACCGCGGCCAAGAAGAAGTTTAGGTACCAGATCCCGATCTTATCCTTGCCTGAGATCGACGACACCATTATCAAGTTACTAGGAACCATGGTGTCGGTGTCTTTCCAAACCATGCTGCAGGCTAGCCCTAGGTTGCTCAAAGGGCTTAGACAACTGTTAACTCGGCGGCGAGTAGAAATAGGCGACAACCCCGAATTGCCAGAAGGGGAGAGGGAGGAGGAAGCTCCGCAAGAAGTGGCTAACCTTCAGAGAAGTCGCGGGGACTTGGAGGATCTCGAGAGAGCTTTTGCGGACATTCGTTTGAGCTTGCCCGACCGAGAGGGCGGCGAGGTCATGCGGTCACCACCCGGGACAAAGCTTAGCTTTCATGCACTGCCCATAGGAAAGCTGAAAATCCAGATCGGGACCCATCATACCGACTCGTTAGTAGACGGGGGAGCAGAAATCACTATTATAAGAAGAGATTTCGCAACGATCACGGGATGTACGGTAAACAAGGAAGTAACAGGGAGCATCCGGGGATCTGGCGGGGAAATCCCGTTCGCTGGGTACGTCACGAAGTGTGCTGTAAAGGCAGGAGTCAGGGAATTGATCTGGTCGTTTCAACGGATGACCGTGATGGAGGAAATGAACCACGACATAATCCTCGGGAGACCGTGGTGCGCGAACGTAGAGATGATAGGCATGCACTTGCACGATGGCTCATACATGGTAGACATAGAGGACCCAGTGACTGGCCGGGGAGAGCTCCTCCGACTCCTTGGAACGGGAGGAGAGCTCCCGAAGGCGAAATTGGCAACATGGTCGTCGTCGTTCGAGGATAGCACGCGAAAAGGGGCCTCCGCACGAATGGAGGGTATGAGAGAAATGGTAGAAATCATGATTGAGAAAGCATTTAACAAGAAGGAGTGGATCAAGATGGTCCTGCCCCAGAAGAAGAGGAGGCCGGAGGACGAAGTCCTAAGCGTTATGGTAGCAGAAAATGAGTCAGAGGTCGAACTCGGTGCTAGCCTGCCCAAACGGAAAGAAGTACGCATAAACGTGCCAGAAGTCGCACTCGAGATCCCCGATCTGTTACAACTCATCAAGGCTCTCAGATACCACAAGGTAGGAGTGGACTTAGCAGCCTTGGCCAAGTTCGAAGGAGAGGTGCAAAAGGGATATTGCCTGAATGGGAAACTAGTTAATATTCAACCACGAATCGTAGAGGCAACGAGGGCGATTCCGACTGTTCATTTTTTAGGAGAAAGATCCCGGAAGGAAGTGTTCGAAAGTACAAGTCGGTAGGGAAGAAAGCAAAACCGGTCTCGATCCTGCTAGAGACGTCAAAGGAAGAGGCTATGGAGAAGGAGGAAGAGTTCCTTCGAGTGATCCGAGAAAGGAGGGCAACGGAGGGACATCGAATACCAGACGAGGTAGCTGACACAATGAAGATAGGGATAGACGGGTTCCTAACGGAAGAAGAAATCCGTCTGATAAAAAAGACCTGCCAAGAGTTTCACCTGACATTCGCCTTTAGTGATCACCAAAAGGGGCGACTGGATGCGAAGCTGATCCCTCCGGTCAGGATCCACACGGTAGAGCATGAGTGCTGGAATGACAAGGGACCGTCCTATGAATTTGGGATAGCAGGGGAAGTGACAGACTTCCTCCGAGCAAAAATGGACTCCTTCATTGTGGAACCTACGGCGTCGCCATACGCAAACTGGTGGTTCGTCTTTCCAAAACAAAACAAGACACTAAGGTGGATTCAGGATCTGCAGAAGTTGAATGCGGTAACCATCTGGGATGCTGGCTTGCTGCCTCAGGCTGACTTATTAGCAGAATCGCACGCCGGTCGAAGCATTTACTCCCTGATAGATCTGTACTCAGGGTACGACCAGCTCCCGCTGGATGTCCGAGACAGGCCGTATACCGCTATGCACACCCCGGTAGGCCAGCTACAGATGCAAGTGACCCCTATGGGATTCACGAACGCGGTGGCCGAAGCGCAACGCAGAATGCTCGCCGTGACCGGGGACATGTTTCCAGAAAAATGTGAGCCCTATATCGATGACAACCCAATCAAAGGTGCGCAGGAGAAGGACGAGACAGAAGTCCAACCGGGAATCCGAAAGTTTGTATGGGATCATCTACAAGACATCAAGGACTTGCTCCACCGGTTCCTAATATACAACATCACGGCTAGTGGACCAAAAAGTATTCTAGCAGTACCAGAAGTAACCATACTAGGATTTCGATGTGGTGCTTACGGTAGGAAGCCGGACCCGGCGAAAACAGACAAGACATCGCAGTGGCCAACCCCCTCTGCGCACTACAACGGAGGTAAGGGCATTCCTAGGCGTAGTCGGGTTCTGGAGGATCTTCATTAAGAACTTTGTCAAGATTGTTGAGCCTATCCGGGCTATGATCAAGGAAGAAGGAACCATGGATTGGACGAAGGAGTGGGAACGAGTTGTCCAAAGGCTGAAGGATATATTGACATCTGAGATGGTCGCCCTGTCCGCGCCTTGTTTTAATGACGAAGTGGGACGACCCTTCATCCTAGAGACGGATGGAGGACCTTTGGCCGTAGGAGATGTGTTGATTCAAAGGGATGAGGGAGGAAAAGAGAGGCTGATTAGGTTTGGAAGTAGAACCCTGAACTCCGCAGAGCGGCGGTACTCGCAATTCAAGAAGGAGGTCCTAGCCATCTTGCACTGCCTTAAGACCTTTCAGGCCTACCTATTTGGGAAGCGGTTCATCCTCGGGATCGATCCGACGAATGTTGCAGGGGCCTTAAAGAATTACAGGCCTATAGATCCGACGGTGGGGAGATGGGTAGGATTTATCTGGCAGTTCGATGATAAGATCGAACGGATTGCGGGAATTAGGAACAAGGTTGATGGGCTGAGCCGGGTCTGCATCACTCTCGAAGGGGTGAAGGATGCGGAGCCCATAGACGCGTTCCTCGAATACGAAGGAGGAACTCTTGCGGTGGATAACGAAATGATGAGCGAAGAATGCACGTCGGGAGAGCTATTAATCCAGACTTTGGAGAAGGGGGCACCTGCCGTAGTAGCAGAACTTAGAGAAGGACCAGTCACCACACGAGGACGAAGCGAGGCAAAAGACTCACGGGGAGCGATAGTGGGGCCAAAAGAGGAATTGATAGCAATGGCGGTCGAGGGAGGCCGGGAAACAGTAATGAGCTTAGTAGAATCTTGGGAAAGGAAAGAGTTGCAATAGGTGGTAAACCAAATGCAGGAAGGAAAGGATGGGGGTCAGGAAGGAGAGGAGTTTTTCTATGTCCAATCATACGAAGGGCTCTTTCGGGAGATCGGACTGTTGTTGGTAGGAAACTAACAACCTACGGAAGTCAGTATTAAAGCAAGAGAAGAAGCCGAGAGGTACGTTCTTAGGGGCGGGCATTTGTTCTGAAGGGGGGAAGGTGCTATGCCCAGAAGGGTTGTGTGCGGAAGATCTAGGCAAGTAGACGTTATCCAGGCAATGCACGATGGGTTGGCTGGAGGTCATCGGTCATCCAAAGGAACGCTTGCAAAGATAACGCCACTCTATTATTGGTCAGGTATGGCAGGCATGGTTGCCATATACTGCCAGACTTGCCTTAATTGCCAAGAACGAAGCTCGGTGCGGGTCTTTGAGCCGCTTAGATCGACACGGGTGCTAGGGCCGGGACATCTGGTCCACCTCGACCTTGCGGTCATGCCTGTATCAACGGATGGATACAGGTATATACTGGATGCGCGAGACAACTTGAGTGGGTTCGTGGAGGCGGTCGTCCTTAAGAAAAAGACAGAGAGAAGTGTGGCGGATTGGATAGAAGACTTCTACTTGAGGCATCCTTTCGTCAGGAGGTTTATAGCTGACAATTGGACGGAGTTTGTGGATCAAGAAGTGTTGGGGATGCTTACGAGACTCTGCGTACCGATCAAACTCATCGAGCCATATCACCCTGAGGCCAATGCACCTGTGGAAAAGGGGCACCGAACCTTGAAGAACACGATTGCGAAGCTCGCAGGGGACCATCTGGGGACCTGGCCTAGGTATCTTAAGCAGGCTGTCTTTGTGGAAAATATGACCCCTAAAAGGACAACAGGATGTATCCCGGCAGAACTTTGGTACGGAAGAGAAATTGACTTTCATGTGGAAGCCTTGAGGCCTACCTGGAATAGGTTAGATGATGATCCGCAAATGACTACTGAAGAGTTAATCGAGGCAAGGTGCCAACAGATCCTTAAGAACGAGGAGGTCATGGAAGACATCGCCAACCTCGTACTAGATAGCATTATGAGGGACAAAGCGAGGTGAGACTTGGTTAAGAATGTCAGAAAGGAGCCACTTCAAGTAGGACAGATGGTATTGCTAAGGAACTCGGCACTAGAAAGTACTTGGTCGGGTCAGCTGGGAAGAAGGTTCAAAGGCCCCTACCGGGTCGCCAAGCGGGTGGGACTGAACACCTTCGAACTAGAAGATTTGGATGGAACAGGATTGAAAGGGTCCTTCCCGGGGCAACGATTGGTCAGGTTTCTAAGTCGGGACCCGGTGGAACAATGGCTTTTGGAGGCCGAAGATAAGGAAACTGAGGAGCCACAAGCTAAAGACTGACTACAGCCTTGCCCATACTATGTTTTGTCTCTGACCAAGTTCATGCGACTGTCATTTTTTGGGGGGACTCTCTTGGCTTGGACTGACTGAGGTTGAAAGACAACATGACTTGGGGGTTTTGCAATATCTGACTTGTGTGAGGACGGGAAGGGATGTTGGGGCATTGTACCATAGTTTTTTATGGGAAGAAAATGGGGTCGTCACAAACGGCGCATTCGCATGTATAATAGGGGCATGCTGTGAAGGGTAGTGGGAGCATTTTTTTGGGGGGAAAGGAAGTTGTCTACCGGATTTGGGGGGGGGATGCGTGTATACGGTGCATTGCGGGTGTTGTTTTGTTATACAGGGTCTAAAAGAAAAGAGAAAATGGAATTCAGCAACGAGAACGACAGCGGGGCAATCAACAGGCCTACCGGAGGGGAGGAAGCAGGACCAAGCCAAGGGAGGAGGGCGGCAAAGAGAAAATTGTACATAGGGCTCATTGGTGGGTCAGTGGTAGGCAGGGGTGGAAAGAAATGTTTGTGTAGGAAACCCTCACCCCTTCGCGAGGGAGAAGGCATAGAAATCTCGTCTGACAGTAAGGGAGGGAAGGAAAAGGCAGAAGTAGGAGAACGAGGCAATGCAGATATGGGAGATGAGGTTCAGGTCTCTGACGAGGAAGGAGCCAACAGGGGCAAGCGACGTAAGAATTGGCACGGGGAAAGCGAGGGGGGACAAGACATGCACAACGAACATGAGGAGGGTGAGGAGAGAAGGGAAAGCCCGCTCGAAGGACGAAGCGGCCACGGCAGTTGTGAGGGGTATGGGATGGGGACAGAGATTCCTTTTACCTACAATCTAAAGAACATTGCGGGTGGGTATAGCCCCATACAGACAGAAGACGAGGAGGACGAGGAGGAGGATGTACGGGAAGTCATAGAAATCAGCAGCGGGGATGAGGGGGATGAGATCTCAAGGCCTAGGGAAGAAGGGCGGTCTTCGATGCACCAGCCGGGCGAGGGGGCTTTCGGATGGGAGGACGAGTTTGGACCAACTCCCAGTCATTGGTTTAAGCAATGGACCAATTTGATCAGGCACGAATGAATTATCAAGACTCGGGAACTGGCAAAGGCCGGAGTGGAAGCTACGCCGCTGGACTTCTTCAGTGAAATTGAACTACAGGAGATTGCCAGAAAGAACTAGGTGTTGACAAGGTGGACAGGGTTAGGAAGCCTGCTGAGGAACAGGGTGGACAAGGAACTGGGCAAGACGAGGCGCAAGGCAGCAATAGGAACTAGGTGTTGACTTAGCATTGGAAAGGGTCGCTGTTTTTCTGTTTGCGGAGACATGGGAATGACGAGAACGTGTACAGTATAAGCAAGTTTGCTAAGGATGAAGTGAAAAGAGGGTCAGCCAAGGCTTTGTCACGATAAGATAGAAGATAGTTTTTTAGGCTACTTTTTGAATGAGCTACCTTGGGTACATAAGACAAAGACATGGGATTTCGAAATGAGACCAATTGGGAAGGGGTGAATTGTGAATTCTGGATGGAAAAAGGATTATGCTTTTGAAAGGGGAAAACCTTGACTACGGATTGACGAGCAAACCATGGCATTGAATGATTGGATGAGTGCAAGAGAGGTTAGGGAACCTATGGGTTAAGGGGCATGAGGAATACTCCTTCTCTAGGAGCCTAATCCAACCGAGTCATGAATTAGGCTGAGAATGGTCAAGATCTGAGTAGTCGGGACGAGTGAAGAAAAAAGGGGGCGCCCCTGTCTCTTGCTATGGTTGAACGACCGGGTGAGCTAGTGCTGCTTGGGGTCGCGAGCCCCTACTCCAGTGCTAGACGCTAAGTCAGATGTATGCATGGATGATACGTTACTTTGAGAAATGAAATGGATGGTACATTGCTGTGAGAAATGAAAGAAAGAGAACAGCACGCAAAAGCAACAGCCATGAACCTGGCCTTGAACAAGGCCCTAGGGCCTAGAAAGAGGGTGCACACCAGTTTGACACTTGTCAAAACAGAAATAAAAGAAAAAGAAAGAAAAATGAGAGAAAAAGGGGGGAGAATGAGACAAAAGGGGAGAAAAGAGTGGAGGAGAGTGTGGAGGCCTATTGGGACCTACACAGTTGGGACTGGCAGGTCCCAACAGTTACCTCATCCCTCCTAGAATAAGGGAGGGCAATCCGGATTGGCCATATCTCAATAAAATATGAATTAAAGAGCAGAAAATGAGGGAAAAAGCAAAAAGGAAGTGGCCGGATTTCTTTTTGACCATGGATCTGAGATCAGATCTCATGGTGGAGAGGAACTAGCTGTTTTTTGTGGGTCAGCTCAAAACGGTTAGCTCCGGAATGAGGTGGCAGCCCAAAATGGAAAGAAACAAAAGAGGGAAAAGACCAAAATTGTGCATTTGGCCCAAAAAGAGAGTCAGATGCACCAAAAATTGAAAGAGTAGACTTAGGGGATCAAAATTTAAGCAAGGGCTACTAGGGGGTAGCTCGGATTATTGCTGGCCTTGGATCTCAGCCAGATCCAAGGCTGAAATTGTGCCGCCACATGGAAAAATGTTCCGGCCTACCCAAAGGAGGCCCAAACTTGAAAAAATCGAGAAAAAGGCCCACAAGGCCTTTTTCTTTCAAGTATTGCTGCCCCTTGGGCATTAGGACCCTAGGAGGCAGCATTTGAGTAATGAAAAAGAGGCCGGAGTAGTCCAAGAGGCAGTCCGAGTTGGTACCAACCACTCGGACTGCATGTACTTGGCCAAAATGAGGCTCATGTACCTCCAGAAGGCCCTAGTAGGGGAATTTGGCCTTGGGGGTACCTCGGTTCACCTCAAGGCTCATGGGGAGGCTCATGGGCTGGCCGGACTGCTGGTTTCAGCGTACATAAGTTAAGGATTTAGTCCGCCACTCTCACATTTGCATGAGGAGTGTCCATGCTGCCGAAGTGAGCTCACAGGAGCACATTTGCATTTGGAGTGAGGAGGGAGGCGTCCATGCTAGTGGGAGAGCTTAGAGCGGACTAGGAGGTAGTGGGGAGGACTCTAGAGGATGGTGATGGCGGGAGAGACACTTGGGAGGTGATCCGCCATATCCCTCCTGGGTGTGGGAGAGAAGGAGAGGCTAGAAGAGCCCCATTAGCCCTCCTAGAGGGGAGGACTCCATAGCCATAGCTAGGGGAGTTTGCCATAGCCTGAGAGAGAGCAAGAAAGGAGGAGAGAAGGGTTTGAAGAAGGAGGAAG